CACAGCTAGAATGAACAAAATGGAGACTTCGTTGATCATGTTTATGATTTTTCTCTTAAATTCAGTGCGCTGGATTATCTCTAGGGGGCTTTCCTTGTAGAACTCTTCTATAGGCTTGGTGGAGTTTGGTGGGGACATAGTGTTTTGGCTTTCCATTTTATTATTTGCTTTTGACATGTGAATTTCTTTTGTTGCTTATGATTCTGATATGAGAATTAAGTTGAGGTATGCTTCTGTTTGTATTATCCAGGTGCCTATATCCTTTCTTTATTGGTTATGTAAAGCTGGTTGGTACAGGGTTCAGGTTCTCTCAGGTTTAATTTGGAGGGAACTGATGGCTTCAGATCAGCTAATCAGGAGTACACACAGAAGCCCAATTCAGGTTCCAGTCAGATACACTCAGGCTTCCTTCACCATGTGGAGGCAGGATCTGGGCACTATCAGATGGTCCACCCTCTCAGGTTGTCTGCTAAGAGCTCTGCCTTAGCCTCCCAAAGCCAGTTCTGCCATGGGGCCTTGGGAGGGGCTTCACAAAATCCCAGGTAGGGGGATGGGTATGGCACAATTAGGGGACACTCACTACCATGTGGTGGCAGGATCCTGGGGCTCTCAGGCAGTCCCCTGTGTTCTCAGCCTGTCTGTCAGAGAGAGGCCAGAGGGAGACCAGAACTCAGCATTCTCTGGTGGTCTGCTGAGATCAGAGCTGCTACACCGATGGAGGTCAGAGCCCACCCACTCAGGCTGTCTGCTGGGATCTCAGCCTTAGCCTACAAAAGCCAGATCTTCTCTGGGGCCTTGGGAGGGGCCTCATGAAACCCCAGGTAGGGGGATGGGTATGGAGCGATTAGGGGAAGCTTACCACCATGTGGAGGCAGGATCCAGGGGCTCTCAGGCAGTCCCCTGCATTCTCAGCCCCTCTGTTAGAGAGAGGCCAGAGGGAGGCCAGAGCTGGGCACTCTGTCAGCCTGCTGAGATCAGAGCCGTTACACTGATGGAAGTTGGAACTCTGCTCTACATTTCATTTTAACATACGCTGTTTTCTACAGAAAGACTCATTTTTAAACCTATTAACGCTTATATGTTTGCACATATGTCTCCAATCTCTATCTGATTATTACTGGTCACAGTTGGTTACACTCAGATCCTTGGCTCTTGAGCATAGATAGAAAGTCATCAGGTAGATTTCAATGGTAATGTTTATCACCTCTATTAATTAACATGAAGTAAATTTTTATGCTTCTTCCTCATTTTTTTTTTCTGATTTTTTTTGTGTATATCATACAGAACATCCCAAACAATCTTATTCATCTGTATACCCACTTCCCAAATGGCACCCTCTGATTAGAGGGATACCACAGCCATTAAAGGCTAAGGTTAACAACCAAATGTTAAAGGTTTGAATTCAAATGGCACCCTCCCATAGCACCCCCACCCCCCAGAGCCCATATACTCTGTCATCCCTGTTACTGTCCACTGTGTTGTTGGCACCCCCAGCCATTCTCCACTGCTTGTCTGTCTGCTGAATCTAGTCAGCCTATGTAGAGATGCTTGTTTTAGGAAGATCAGCTGTTCCTCATCTAGCAGCAATCAGCTGTCAATACTCCTTTAGTAGGATTGGGTCTGCTGTTCATTTTCCCAGTTCTATGCTGGGTTACTGTCTGGAAGTCTCTTGGGCCACCCTGACCAACAACTCAAAGGAAGGCATCCCCTGTCTGGCATTGTTTCTTGTTATGTAGCCTTTAGCTATACATATGGACTCTTAAAAAATTATATTGGCTGCTTTAATCTTTGGTTATACTTTACTTTTGGGTGTTTAAGACCCTACAATTGTCCCAGATATACCAATTTATTTTTACTGTTAAGATCATTTGAAGATCTGTTCCTCGGGAGTAACAGGGGCTTTGGAGGAGTTCCTGGCTCCTTTCTTTTACCAGTTCCATCTGTATGAAGATAAGTCAAAGGTACTGCTCAACCATGGCTGGCTTGGAAGCATGGAGGAAATGTTTCCTCTGTGTTGACCCTCCTCTTTGTAGACTGGACACTGGTTCAAGTCCATCTGGTGGGGTCTCCACAGCCTCCTTGATTTAGAGGACAGGTGACTCACCTCAGTTATATGACATTTTGAGAGATGCTCATAGTTCCCTGCAACTTAGTCGACCTAGGATACCAAGGAGCAAAACTGTCCTTTATAACCCTCTGATCAAATTAGTATAGGCCTCAAAGTATGGCTGTTAAACATCCAAGAAGGTTAGTTCCACCAGTCTGGTACTTTTAATAACCATGTGCCATGTCGATAAAGCTTGGGCAAAGACCAAAAGTTCTCAGATAAATCTTGCCTAGACATATATTATATTCTTTGATCTAGTGGTATGTATAATTTGTCAGTAGGTTGTTGGTCTTATATGGTTCCTTCTGGTTTTTTAAAAATGAGCTAGGCATTATTTATCTCTCGCCTTGTCTAACCCTTCCACCATGGTTTCCCCATTTAAGGTCCCCCATTTTTCCCATTTCTCCCTTCTCCTATGGTCCCACCCCTCTTGAGCTCCTTCTTTCCCTTTATCCCCTAGGTTTCTTGTATAACCTAACCTCCCCCCCTTATAGTAACCCCATTTTTATCCATATCTCCCTCATTAACACCTGTTTCCTAATGTTCTTCTCTTTCAGATTCTTTCTTTTCCTTTACCTCTCTGGTTCCTCTTCATTATCCTGGTTCCTGTAGTTACGTCTGGATACATAATCACTTATCAGGATTTGGTGCTAGGATCTGCATTTGAGGGAGAATATACGTCGATTTTTTTTTTCTGAGTCTGTGTTACTTCACTTAGTATAACAGTTTCTAGTTCCATCCATTTACCTGCAAATTCCATGATTTCAT